CAGAGCCTGGAGCCTGCTTTGGATTCTGTGTCTCCTTCTCCCTGCCCCTCTCCCACTCATGCTCTGTCTCTCTCTGTCTCAGAAATAAACAAACATTAAAAAAAGTTTTTTTTAAAGTTTTAAAACTTCAATCACAAAAGCCTCTAAAAGCACTAAAAATTACTGTTGGCATCGCTAAAGGGTTTTCTCTTTTGAGGTTATAGTGTGAATGGGAAATGAAAATATGAAAATACGCAGACTTAACGGGGTTTTCTTTTATCTTTGCCTAATTAGAATGTCACATCATCTCCTCAATATTCCACATTCCTCGAGCACATCATCCCCCGATTTCTCACATTTCTTCAAGATGGGGAGGTCCAGTTTCTTCAGGAGAAACCAGCCCAGGTAATCTGTTCAGAAATGTCAGCGAGCAGAGAAAATGTTGGCTTGCAAGCATTTATGAATTAAAACAAGTGAGAAAACTTAGGGTTCCACTTTAAAATAAGAGACGTTTTGGGGCACCTGGGTGGCTTAGTTGGTGAAGCGTCTGACTTCAGCTCAGGTCTGGTCTTGCCATTCATGGGTTTGGGCCCCACGTCGGGCTCTGTGCTGAACGCTCAGAGCCTGGAGCCTGCTTTAGATTCTGTGTCTCCCTCTCTCTCTGCCCCTCCCCTGTTCACACTCTGTCTCTGTCTCTGTCTCTCTCTCAAAAATAAATAAACATTAAAAAATAATAAATAGAGTAGGAGAGGTTTTGTCACGTAAGGATAGTTTTGTCCCAAACCATGCCTCTTCAGTTAAATGTCTTGGTTTTAATTCTTTACTTTTGCTGACTGGTGACATGTATACACTGTGTATTATAGACAAGTTCATATATCCACAAAAAGAGGGAGTGATCCCTTAGGTGACCCTCTCCATAGCTAGTGCCTCATCTACTCTTAGTGTCCATTCTCGTAACTTCTGGCCAGTTTTATTTTATCTGTACCCGCCCCCGTGCTTTGCACCCCCCCCCCTTGATCATTTTAAGACTGTCTCATCATAATTTCTTCTATAAATATTTCAGTGCATGTCTCTTAAAAATAACTCTTTAAAAGTTAACATAATGCTAAACAAAGCATTTTTATGTTGTACCAGTTGAAGATCTACACATTTGACCTACCTTTTAGTTGTTGACTCCACAGTCGTACTCCAGAAGCTTAGTCAGCTTGTGATGCAGTCAGTCCTCAGGCCCAAGAGAATCAACCAGGGAGAGGATCATAGGAACCAAACACATGATGGAAGGAGATCCCAGACCAAGTTCAGTTTGTGTTGTGCTCTTTCATCTGAAATGCAGCCAGCAATCACACACTAGTGCCCTTCCGCTGGAAATGGTGATAAGTTTTCAAAGAGGGAAGGTTAGGCTTGGTTGATTTGGTACACGACTGTGGAAAGCTTGAAGTAATGGTTTGCGGTATGTACCTGGGATTACGTTTAAGTAATTTACAAGTCTGTTCCTGAAATGGGGTCCATCTTGTAGTTGGGTGGTTCCCAGTGTGGGGTGCAGACAGCCGTGTAACTTGGAGAGTATAAAAGAATTCTTCTGGGATTCTTGGAAGGATTTGATATTTATGTTTTTTATTTTTCTTCACCAGCAACTGCGGAAACTGGTCCTTGAAATAATTCACAGGATACCAACCAACGAACATCTTCGTCCTCATACAAAAAACGTTCTATCTGTGATGTTTCGCTTTTTAGAGGTAATCTTTGAGAATTCTTGTTATTTAGCCGTATTCAGACTTTCAGTGGTTTTCTTCTTGTAGAATCTGGTATTCCATGCTTCTCTTTCACTGAAGTTGTGATTCGCATGAGTAAAAACTTTCTTAATGTCCATTTTGCCAACCAAATTACTAAGAAATATTAATTGAAGATTCATGGAGTCAGCAGGGAATTGAGTAGACATAGTGGAAATGTTTGGAAAGGTTTGGGTAGACAGACTCAGAGTGCAGGGCCCTTTGGTTTTCTTCTACTTCAGGCACAGTAGATGCTGCTAAAGAGTTTCTCAAACTCTTCGGGTGAATCCACCTGATACCTGTTAATGTTAACCTCTAAAACTTTCCTTGCTGCTTAGTCCCAACGGGTTTAGAATTCTGTTGTATTTCGGGGCCTCTTGGAAGGGTGAGCTTTGGAGGGGGATAGAGTTGGATTCAGAGCCTCTTCTGCCATGGGTTAGCTGCTGTGGTAGCCTCATTGCTTACCTTCTCTGAGCCTTAGCTTCCTCATAGGTAAGATGTGGAGGACACCCCCATTCAAAGAGCGTAAAGGATTTAGCAGATTGTCCAATACGGGGTGGATGCTCACCAGTTCTGTTGGCAGCATTTTTAAGCAACAAGAAAGCGTCCTTTGGACCATTAAGACCTTCCTTCATGGTGTGACTTGCCAAAGTGTTACTCTCCAGAGCTCACTGGCAGGATACCCTTCCGTTGGTCCACCAAAGACCTCAAAAGCTTCTTGTCTGAGGCTACTGTGTTCTGTGTTCAACACGTGAAATCTGGGTTGGCTGACGTTGGGTGCGTGTACAGAAAAATGCTTAGAAAATAGCCTGTGATCTTTAGATTAAAATAACCTTAGAAGTGTAACTCTTTTTAAATGCTTTTTTTTTTCTTTTTTAAGACGGAAAACGAAGAGAATGTTCTTATTTGTCTAAGAATCATTATCGAGCTACACAAACAGTTCAGGCCACCCATCACACAAGAAGTAAGTGTTTAGACTGATAGCATTTATAAAAGTATGTCAACAGGCTTTTTCTTTTGCATAATGTGTGTACTCTCTTTTAGAATTGATGGGACATGCTGCTTTCCAGAAAAGGATAGCCTCAGTCTGGGGGAAAGTCTTTATGGGTTTCACAGTGACTTTTGTTTGGTCCATGTTTATATGAATATTCTGCTGAATTTGTACATTAGTTGAAACGTGGTAAACTAAACTGGCAGGGCTGTTTGGGTAATTCTGGTATTTACAGGTCTGATGTGCTGGAAGGCTTCAGTCATTGTATGCTCTGCAAGGGTGTGAGATGTGGGTTCTGAAGTCAGAACTGGCTTGGAATCTCAGCTCTGTAACTCAGTAATTGACCATCTGTAATTGGCATTGGGTCAGCCCCTAGCCCTTTGGAGCTTTTTCCATAAAATGAGCGCCCTCACAGGACATAGCCACAAAAGATTGCTTGAAGAATTCAGTATGAAAGTTAAGTTCTTAGCAGAGTGATTGGTACCTACAAAGTAAGCATTAAACCTGCTGTTAGTCATAATTAAGGTAGTATCTTCTCTAACATTAACTTTAGTAAATGCATGTTGTAGATTATTTTGCAGTTAAAAGAGTAAAGATGAAATAGAATTCCTGTCATTTTAAGAAAGCGATTTTGATGTCTTGATTTCTGTTCCTTGTCCCTATCTTATGTATATGTATATTTCCTACATAAGAGTGTTTTCCCAATCGTAAAAAATTCTTTACAAAGTTGATTTTTAATGGATGTGTGGTAGTCTTTCTTACGATGCCCTTGTTTTTAGATAGTTAAGGTATTGCAGAATTTTTATGTTAAGACTATTGCTAAATATCTTGTTTACAGTTCATATTATTTCATAGACTGGTTTTGTAGTAGAGTTATCAAGTCAAGCGAGTTAATGTTTTAATGCTTCTGAGAGATATTGATTGTCATTAAGTTGATTTCCAGAAGGGTTTGAGCGGTTCATGCTTCCCTTGGTAGTATAAGAGAGTCTCCCTCTGGTTGGATTCCATCTCACATGGATAGTAGTACTTTTTGAAAGGCAATAAGTGGTATTTATTTTCATTTTTGTTCCTTTGCTCTTCCTGATTTAGAAACTTACTTCCTTCTTATTTCTTTTTTTGTCTGTTCACGTTCATTGCCTGTTGGAATTTGAGTCTGACATTTTTCCTGCCTGTTTTAGGAGTTCTTGTACTCATGTATTAGCACTTGCATTACTTACTGTATTTTCTGTTTACAAATTTCTTATGTTGTCTTTTTAAAATTTTACCTTCAGATTCATCATTTTTTGGATTTTGTGAAACAGATTTACAAGGAGCTTCCAAAAGTAGTGGTATGTTTTTAATATCGTTTGAATCTATTATTTGTATACATTTATTCCTCATTCCAAAGGGAATTTGAAATAGTTGGGTTGAAGGAATAATTGGGGGGAATGCAAATTGGAGGATGAGGAGTGTTTAGTGGTGGTCAGAATGGAGGTTGATAAATCAGCCATTTAAAAGGAGTTCTTTCGGTTTCACTGTTTAAATACGTCATTTTTTATGTAAAAGCAGTGTGTTTTAGTGTAGAAATTTGCAAAAAAACAAAAAACCCAAGGTAAATTGTCTGTAATTTTCTCACTTGTAAGCAACTGTTGATATTAAAGTTTCACTTTTTCACTTTTTTCACGCTTTTTAAAGATGGTTGCACTCCTATTGTGAGGTTTTTTTGGGAGGTAGTGTCCGCTTTTAGATTCCTTTTCAGTGGCATTAAAATTCCTTCCTATATTGAAAGAAGTCTTTCTCAGTGGCTTCAGCAGTGTGTGAAAGCGCATGGCGTGCATGAGGGCGGTCTCCTCCCCACCTTACTCTCACCTAATAGACGGTGCCACTGGGACCAGTTTGGAACATCCTGTAACACACTTTTCTGCCAGCAGTCATAGTTCTTAGTGGCCCCATAATTTCCCGTCCTGTGCGTGTACCTGGATTGTCTCCTTGATGCTGGTTTTCCCAATTTCCACTTCCTGTCACAATCACAAGTAATACTGGTAAAAAACTTTTGGTAAAAATCATTGTGCATGAATCTGTTCGTGTATCAAAGTTTTTCTAAAGATTTTTTTTTTAAGCTTTAAAGGAATTTTTTAAAAATCAAAGAAGGAATATCCTTTTGGTATTTTAAGGATTTTAATCTACGAATGTATAAAATTTCATTTGTTACATTCTGAAATTGTCAAGTTATCATTATTACTGAGTTAGCAAGTGCTGACACTTGCCATTCAGTCAGAAAAGCTGCCTTTCATAAGAAGTGGTCTTATTTAATCTAAAGCCCAAATCGCATTGAGAACTAAGGATGGCAGTGAGGCCCTGGCTTTTAAAAATGTCTGTGTTTTGCTTCCATTCCTGTCTTTGATCTATGTGTAGGAGACTGTTTGGAAAGTGGATTCAGTGGGGACTAGCTCTGAGTTTCCTACCACCAGAGGGAGGGGCTACATCCCTCCCCCATCCCCCCCCACTGAGGTAGTGACGGAATGCCATGCACCTGATCTCTTACCAGCCAGGAAAAAAAGGAGAAAATACTTTGGGCGAGTTTTTTGTTTTCCATTGTTGACGGTAGAGGATGTCGCTGTCATGTTCTCTTTGTCCGTAAAGAGGACCCCAAGTACTATGGCATCAGTGCAACGGAAAAGCGTACAACACTGGGTTTGCTCCATCAGGTGTCAGGTGTGTTTCATTGAGGAATATTGTGTCTGACTCGGAAGAATGATTTCTGCTCTTTCTATGCAGAACCGCTACTTTGAGAACCCTCAGGTGATCCCCGAGAACACAGTCCCTCCCCCAGAAATGGTTGGTATGATCACAACAATTGCTGTGAAAGTCAATCCAGAGCGCGAGGACAGTGAGACAAGAACAGTAAGTTTTTTTCCATCATTTTGCTTTGTTTTTATCCATGTCTCCTATACTTGGTAGAGGAAAAAAATGAGGTACTCTTCACGTATATTTTTAGTGTATTTTGGGGATTTTTCCTCTAAGCACTTGAGGTAGTTAAGATCAGAGGCGTGTGAGTGCTTGAGAGTGTCACTGGTTCTGCTGTGCAGCCCGCAAGTCCTGAACGTGAACTGTTGCTCACTGTGGATGGGAAGATAAAATGATAAGACAGTAGTGCAAATGCAGAATCCTCTGTTGGGAAGAGCAGCTGCCCAGGCGAGGTGACCTCTGTTCCATCCTTAGCTTTGACATTGACGACGTCCCTTTAAGCTGCATATAAATTTGCGATTTAGTACCTGAGAGCATGGGCTCTGAGGACAGAAGCTTAAAACTTGGGGACGATGTTCCAGCCCCACCACTTAGGCTTTTTTGGCTGTAGCAAAGTACATAGCTTTTGTTCTGTCCTTAATTTTCCATATCCTTATCTGACAAGCCCGTCTGGTGGGATTTTGTGAAGGTAATGCCAGTATTGTCTGCAGGTGATGTGAGGTATTTGAAGCGTCTGGCGTAAAGGTAACCTGTACTGAGCAGTTACTGTGGCTGTGTTATTAGGATTGATCCAAGGATACTATCCATCTGTATCTGTTTCACTGCCATTGTTTTGCAGCATGTTTCAGTTTGTGCTAGAATAAACAGGAAACTACATGTCGGAGAAAGCTTTCTTTCCTTTTCTCCTCCTGAATTAGGAACTCGGTTTCGATGTCCGTCTTTGTGTTTCTTTTCTTGCTTGTCTGTTCCTGTCCGTTGCCCCTTCTGGATCTGTGTCTGACATTCTCCTCACCTGTGCTGGGAGTTCTTAATATGTTAAGACTAGTGAATTTTTTCTTATGTTTATCATAAGCGCTCTCTGTTTATAAATACCTTTGAATAAAGCTGGGTAAATTTGTACTTTTTGCTGTTGTTCTTTTAAGTAAAATAATAGATACTAATTGGAAATTTCCCCAAAAAATAAAAAATAAAGTTTCCTCAGGTGATTTGAATGTCTGAGTTTAGACGAATTTTCCTGATGTTTTTACCATAGGTGGTGACGTTGGAAAGTATGTAAAAACCTTTATATTAAACGATAGTTCTCTGTGCTTTATTTTCAAAGTGGTTTGGATCTTTCACCACAGATATTTACAAAGATGTGGCAGTATTTTCCTTTCTCTTCGTTTCCCTGGGGCGATGCTGAGTGGTGGGTTATTTTAAGTGCCATGGTGATAACCTTGGCCCCATTTGCTTCTGTCTTACAGCATTCCATCATCCCAAGAGGGTCTCTTTCTCTGAAAGTGTTGGCAGAATTGCCCATTATTGTTGTTTTAATGTATCAGGTATGTGTACTGCTTACTAGTTTCTTGGGGTTTTGGCTTCTTATTTTATGACAAAATTCATTTCTGATTTTCTGTGGCAAACAGAACGTGTGTGGTGCACACGTGCCAACTAATGTAATGACTCTTAAAGTTTTTCTTGGTATGCCAAATTATTTTGCTATAGCAGAGTGTAAGAGCATGAAAATCTGATATGTTTGCTTTTAGCTCTACAAACTGAATATCCACAATGTCGTTGCTGAATTTGTGCCCTTGATCATGAATACCATTGCAATTCAGGTATCCGCACAAGCCAGGTGAGATTTCTCCGGATGGTGACATGGCTCACTGCCACGGTTCTTTAATTCCAAGTGAAAATATGCTTACTGTCGTCTTTCATAAGACACGAAAATTTTGAGTGATAAAAGTTCTGGTAAAGCGATACGCGTTTTTGACTTTTTGAACTTGTGTTTCAGTCATGATGTTAATGGTTGTTTCAGTTCCTTGTTCTGTAAAGATGAGCTGATAACCACGGATTTGGGGGTCTTGTGAATTTAGAGCTCCTGTTACATGTTCCTGTGCTCACTCCCAGCTGTGGGATATCCAAGCCTCTCCACCTTCAGGCCCCTGCTCTTGCTGTGCCTTTCAGCCCGAGTGCTGGAACGTTTTCTCCCCCTCGTTCCCTTCCCCTCCCTGTCAGCCTTAACCACCGAGTATGTGAACCGTGCATATTCGTCTTGCGAGGCCCCCTTGAAGCTTTTCCCCAAATGTAACAGCATTCCTCTTAAGACCTTTGTCACTTTACTCTCTTGACTGTAACCCATCTGGCTCTGAGCCATTGGAAGGCAGGACCTGAGATTAATCAGCCGTAACAAGCCCCGGTTGCCCTTTATGGGGTCTTTTATGGAGCCCCTGGTCCCCTGATGCAGTCTGCTGGCTGTGTTGATCAGTCTGGCTTTGGCTGTTTGGGTGCACGTTATGGCTGCCGTGCCGCGGCTTGGAGAACGGCTTGCTTTTTATGCTTTTAAATCCTTTGTGTTAATCTGAACTGGTTGGTGCTGTGTTTTTGTCTGTGTAGAAATCAAACTTTTGGGTCTTAGTAATTATCGTAGGCTTTGATTAATATTAACATAACCTAAAGAGTTAAGAGTTAATATTGTAAATTCTATTCATTCCTCATTCAGGCAACATAAGCTTTACAACAAGGAGTTGTATGCTGATTTTATTGCTGCTCAGATCAAAACATTGTCATTTTTAGCCTATATCATCAGAATTTATCAGGTAAGTTCACTGACTTTTAAGGCAGGTTTACTGAGAGCTAATTTACACACAGTAAAATTCACCTTTTGTAGGTATACAGTTCTTTGAATTGACAAATTCATACAGTTGGTAACCACCAACGCACCAAAATCTAGGACATTCCCACCACCCCCAAAATTCCCTTTTATATGTTGTCCATTTCCTCCTCGGTCCCTGGCAAACACTGACTTTGTGGCCCCTAGTTTTGCCTTTTCCATAATGTCAAAAAAACGGATCCTATGGTGGGTAGTGTGGGTAACCTTTTGGGTGTCGCTTCTTTGACTTAGCAGTAGTGCGGAGGTTCATCCTTGTTATTTTTTATCGGTGGATAGTCATCTTAGTCTGCTTAGGCTTCCCTAACAAAATACCATAGACTGGGTGGCTCGACCAACAAAAATCGGTTTTCTCACAGTTCTGCAGGTTGGGAAGGCCAAGATCAAGGTTCTGGCTGGGTTCAGTTTCTGGTGAGGACTCTTCCTAGGTTACGGATCACTGCCTTCTTGCTGTGTCCTTGCCCGGGGTGGGGAGTGGTAGTGAGAGATTGCTTTTTCTCTTCTAAGGCCACAGTCCTATTGGATTAAGGCCTCATTCTCAAGATCCCATTTAATCTTAATTACCTTCAAAAGACTCTGGTTTCCAGGTCTAGTCACAGTGAGGGTGAGGGCTTCAGCCTGAATTTGGGGGATCACAGTGTGGTCTATAGCCACAAAGTATGGATGCACCAGGCTGTGTTTATCCATTCCACAGTTGCTAACCATTTGGGTTGTTTCTGATTTTTTTTAAAGCAACTTTGTCAGGATATAATTCACATATCCTAAAATTCACCTTTTTAAAGTGTATAGTTAAGTGCTTACAGTGTATTCATAGAGATTTATACAGTCACCACCACTATCCAATTTTAGAACTGTTTCTTCACCCTCTGAAGAATTCCCATACTGATCGGCAGCGGTGTGATTCGTTCTAGGCCCCTAGCCCTGGCTACCACTGATGTCCTTTCTGTCACTAGATGCACTGATTTCATTTCTGGCCATTGTTGATAAGGCCGATATAAATAAATACTGGTGCACAGGTTTTTGTGGGGATGGATTTGATGCATTGAGTTTTGCTGTTGGAAGTTGGTGTGACAGCAAGTTATGAGGAGAGATTGGAACTTTAAAATAAAAAATGGCATCCTTAATTAACCGGTGAGAGAGGGCGATTATGTCTCTGTTTTTCCCCCACTTGTAGTCTGTCCTTATTTCAGTCTTGAAGAACTTGAAAGAGAGAAACGACACCTTATTTCCCATCAGTCATACCACGTTTTTGAATAAAAGTCTTGTGTAGCTGTAGTTATTGTAAAGTGTGGCATGAATTCAGTCCTGATCTATCCTGTAGCAGTGAATTATAATTTTTTTCTTAAGGGAGAGACTTTATTATTTTCAGGAAAAGTGAAAATGGAAACATGTATGCCAGATTGTTTACAGTAAAAACTACCTTTGAAAGCATTCTTATTTTTGTCCTTTAAGTGCATTTGTCTCAATGACACCGTATACTAAGAAAATGTATGTTTGGTTTCAAAAATCTGAATTAGTGGTGGCTCAGTCAATTGAGCATCTGACTTCGGCTCAGGTCACGATCTCATCATAGTTCATGAGTTCGAGCCCTGTGTCGGGCTCTGTGCTGACAGCT